AAATGCAAACAAGAAGTTTCGAAGGGTAGCACAAGGTACCTTTTGTTTGAATACTCCAATTAACAGCGAAGTGAAATCTTCCTTGACTTTTGTTTTGATTACAAGGAAACTGAACTTTGAACTTCTTTGATGCATACCCGTAAAAATCAAGATTGATAAGATGGGGACCTTTTTTTATATAGTTTTTCTCATTATCAAGAGTTGGGTTTTGTTCTCGTCCTTTCAGTATGGAAGTGATAAAGCAGCTTTCAACATAAGAAGTGAGCGCATTGAAAAATTATCATGACCTCCTGTTGTCAACTTAGCGATAAGTCAAGACCCTTATCAACCTTTCAAATAATAATCAGTGGTTCAGACATTTTAAAGAGGTAATTTTCTCCTCTCTCTCTTTCTCTCTCGTTGCACATAACCTAATCCTACATGGCTTTTAATGGGCTCCCAAACACAAAATTTGTTCCTTTGAAGAGGTCTTTTCCTTTATGTTAATTTTCGAAGGCCGAAACCGAAAATTTTTACGTGCTTCAAGTAATGTGTTGTACACAACTTAAACTATAATTTATGACATTTGGGGGACTTGAAATACATCTACAAGAACCTTAACAATGGAAGAGAAAGTAAATTCCGCAAAAATATGGCTATAAGGCAAACTAAACTAAGATTTTAAGGATCTAGTAGCCACTACCATTACCTTGTGATTCCGGAACAAATCTCGAACCGACTGAGAACAAAAGAAAATATTCAATAACGATAAAATTATATTCCATTTAACTTCTTGTTAAACTCGTGTTAAAACCTAAGAGGATATAGCTCATCGGAGTATTTTCCTTAACTTTTAGCGTAGGCGTGGCCCCCAGTCATAAAAAGGCGACTGTCTTACTTGTTTGTACTCAAGCTGCAGACCCCTTTTTTGTTTTTTCGAGGAACAGCTTATATTTACCTCAGAGAGAGAAGCAAAGATCGTTTACGCTTTGGCAATTCGTTACATATTTGATGTAAAGTGTCTTTAAGCGATCAGAACCCAAAAGCCGTTCTTCATGATACAGAAGGTTTGATTAAACTTGTTGGCCATTCAGTTGGCCAAGTGCAATTTAGCATGGACCTCATGCAACGAAGGTCTTGAAAATTGAAAGACAAAACCGTAAAATTGACCGTTCAATTTTAGTTAAAAAGCTTTACAAGCACCTCAAACTCCAGAGAAAAGTTTAAACTAACTTACCTCCCTAAAATCTCTTCTTTTCATGTTCCCTATACCAGCGACGAAAGCATTACTTTTCTGCCACAAAACGGCACCTGATATAACCACTAAAAACAAGACAGCCATGTTTGAATTCATGTCGGTTATTAAGGCAGGGTTCACAAGTCACTGACTGTCTCTGAGTTGCTGTACTGGACCAGATTAGTATAAAATACAGCCCACTTAAACCTCTTCCTTTATGCGCAGAAGGACACTGATTTTTCAATGGGTGAATTTCAAATTTCCTAAATTGTTGTTGTGAAATTCATGGGACAAAGAAAAAGTTTTTCCGCTTCCGAAACTTGTGGGCTGCATGTCACTCAACATCGTTCATTAAAACTGTTGTTTCAGTTTGGATCGCAGTAAGCACGTTTTTACTTTCCTTTAGAAGAATTTAACTCATCAAATAATTCAAGGCAGATGCGAATTTACAGATAATTTTCTTCGCATAGGGAGATTTTTTTTTTACTGTGAACTATTTTTCATCTCTTTAACAGTCAACACGTTATCTTGGTTTTAAATCATCGATGATGTTTATGTTACTAATGAAGTGAACCCCTAACTCAGATAATTTCCTATTTTTCTCTGTGTACTACATTCCGACTAATTACCAGCGCGCTAATTAAAACCTTCTCCAAACCTCTACTCAACGAAAGGTGGGGAGATGATATCATAAATCCTATTCGCTCACTCAAGACCTTATCGTGACATCTTGCTGCGTTTGGAGTTCTGCACCGAAGTGTTTTAAATATCATTTATGCTGGAGGGGATATATTTGTTTTGAAAACCTGGGGATAAATATATGAAATGATCAAATAAAATGTCTAAGCAATTTAACCTATATTTGTTTCTTGACCACACCAATAACATTCACAACACTAAACAAATGTGCAATGTACCATCTTACAAAGATTCTTTGAGATTTTCAGCAATTGCAGTGAAATTTTAGATCAATCAATTAACTAGGACCGCTTTCCAATTACTTTAAGCTTTTATTTAAATATTTGATAATCTATGCGGTAAGAAACAATGTGGTCAAAAGCTGTCAATGTTTGCGCGTTATCAATCTTCACAACTGCCAACTGACGCGCGTGAAGATAAATCACACGCGACATAAACACGTTAATGATAGTGTCCTATGCCCTTTCAAGCGAAATCATGACAAACATTTTTGATTGATTATTGGTTGAATGAAGTGGGTTCCTCTGTTTATCGTCTCTAGTCGTGATGTCAAACTGCGCCTAGTACCAGGTCATAGTCCCCTCGATTAACTATGACCAGGTGTATTAAATAGAGAAAAATACATAAGAGTGGCTAGATACCAAATTTCTCTTCTAGTGTTCAACTCAGTAACCCACGAGTGAGCTCAGCTAACAACTGAGATTTCGAGTTGAACAAGAGAGGAAAAATTCCATATCTACAAGCAACCATGTATTATTTTGTTTATTATGTAAGCACCATAGGCCTTCACCGGTCAAGAAAAGTTTACATTATTGATAGATGATCAAACGACCTTGGATTTAGGGTGGTGAGTGCTTTGCCATTCATTCATCAACTTGACAGAGCGACGTGAAAGGTGAGTGACGTGTCAGTAGGGGTAGGAAAAAACACTAACCTCGGGTCAACTGACCCCCTACTGACCCCCTTTTGACCCCCCATTACTGACCCCCTCTTAAATTCACTGGAAATCATGAATTGAAGCTAACGATAACAACCTAACGATACAAAATTACGATATAATAAGATAAATGGTCGTGACTAATGGACTTATAAGGTAATAAGCAATTTTTAGCAGACGAAGGAAAAGACATCGCCATATTGGAAAACGAGAATACCCTGGGTACGAGATTGAAGACAATTGGTATTGGGAATTAGAGCGTGACCTGGCACTACCAAAACACTTCAAGCTTCCGGTTTCTAACGCTTTGGTCGAAGAAAAACAATCCTTTTCGGTGCAAACGTATACAACGCAGTACACAATGTTTCGACACATTTGCCACTCGTTTATGAGTGTAGGAGAACCTAACAATTGTGGTAAAACGAGTTTGGACGATGGCAGACTATAGGCGCGGCATTAGACAGATCGACCATCTTCCGTCATTTTGGAATTTAAGAGGTGAGTTTATTATAATATCGTAATTTTGTATCGTTAGGTTGTTATCGTTAGCTTCAATTCATGATTTTCAGTGAATTTAAGAGGGGGTCAGTAAGGGGGGCCAGTAAGGGGGGTCAGTAGGGGGTCAGTGTTTTGTCCTAGCCCGTGTCAGTAGTAGTTTAAACTACACGTAAAAAGTTTAACACACGTTAAAAGTTATCGTAAATTTACACGTGTGTAGTTACAGTTTTTCTCAGGGCTGGAAATCCTTGTAAAACACCACAGTTAATATGATGAAATGATTGACATTTTTTTCCTTTCATACGAAAACGATCATAGGTCTCCATTCTCGTTACCAGAGCCACTCGTTTTCTCTTGCAGTGGCAAAGAACTCTGGTTTCATTGAAAATTTGAACATCTTTTACTGGCTTGGAACACATACCAGTGCAGATAATAACTAAGTACTGCACAAGTCCATAGCCCAATGAATCATGATGGTGTTTTCGTCTGTCTGAGTAAAGGCTTCACTCAGAGTCAAGCGATAAAACGCTCATGCATTTTATCGCTTGACTCTGCTTCAAATAATATTCTGTTTAACCTTTGCGTAAACTAGCAGATCTCTTTCCAAATAAACTCGGTGATCCAGTTTCTCAAATCGGCAATAATTTGCCCCAGCTGTTGGCTTCGACAAATAGCTGATCTGCTCAGAGCCTTCAAAAAATCATGTTTCATTCAACCGCGTAAAACTATATAATTCCTTATTGCTTTATGAGGTTGATGCCTAACAGACTTGAAACTGCTCGTAACCACACAAGCGAAATTTTAAAGTTAAACAGCCAACGGAAAATATTAAAGTTTATTTAAAATAATGGTGTGCAATTTGGTCTGAAGTCATACGCGTGATTACTGAAATCACAAATTGTACCACAAGAGACCCAAAATTGCACGACACGAGTTCACTTACTACGTTATTACATTCATTTTGAAACTGCCCAAATTTATTCCCTCAAACACAGACTTATTCATTCTGAACAAATATTTTATTGATCGAGTATTACACTGGTTTGTAAAAAAATTGCAAAAGTTGCCTTTCATTTTCCTGCAATTCGATTTGTTATTTTACACAAGCCTTAAAATCTGATTGATTGTTGTTGTGTAAACTTTCTCATCGGCTTGGAAAAAATTAAAATTAAAAGCAAAATAAAAGGTTGGATTCGCGAGTAAATCGCACCGATGAGAGCCAATCAGATTGCAAGGTTCACCGATGATTTCAAAATGGATTTAATAAAGAAGGAAATCTTTCTAGCCAATATCTATTCTATGCTAATAGATAAAGATCAACCTTCGACTTGAAAATCAAAATAATAAAAAATTAACCGGTCGAAATACACTGTTTTCCTAGCCTATTAACACGCTGTTTAGAGCTATCGATTTAGGAAGGAAAGGAAATTGTTAAATATTTCCGATTGGGTGTCCTGTAGATGAATGTCACGTGATCAGTTTTCCATATTTGGATTGTAATAAAGGTTGAAGTTTGAAAAATATACTGCCACCTTCATTATGGTTCTACTGTTTTCCGGACTTGGGTAAATTAGACACACAGCAGAAATAGCCTGACAACTGAAGTGTGCCAATAGAGAAGATCAAGCAATAAACTCACGACCTAAGAGCTGTATATCAAATATTCTTTTAATAGATTTAACTTGCATTTCGTAATTGACATGATTAACTGGTGAAGGAACGTCATGCCATCAGCCTCATTACCTTGATAACGTACAATTAAAGTATTGTTGTGTTCGTGAGTTCAATTTACTCACAAAATTACTTTCTAAGTTGTTCTTGACTCACTATCATTATTATTAGCATCATGATTATGATTACTTATGATGTTATTTGTTACTGTTAGGATGAATGTTTTGCTTACTCATTAGTAACGGCGCAGTCTGAAGGCAATTATGCTTAAAGCAAAACCGCAGTTAACTTGGGCGACAAGTTGTATAGCGGGTGTGATAACTAGAAATAGAGGTATGGGTGAATGATTACGTCATGAGCAAAAATAGCAAGAAACTATACATAAACTTAGAAACTGTTAAATCTATTTTTCGAAATAATATCATTTTCTTCTTTTAGTGTTTTAAATACCTGAGATCCTTGTCAGTCTTGTAAAGATATGTTTACCTTTTAATTATAACTTTTAGTTACAAAAATAACTCATAGACTACGCATTTAACTCGCCAAAATAACTCTTAAGAAAGTTTGTGAGACCTAAATCGTTTTCCTAATATCTTGACTTGATAACTTGATAACTCCATACGATGACATGCCTTATTCAAGCTGTACCTCGGACGGTTTTTCTGCAGTATTTTCAACGGAATTTTTCCGCCATGCCCGTAAGAAGTTTTCCTGTAATGCAAACAAACATAAAGACAGCAATATAATGTAAAGAGAGGGGAGATTTATACATGTAAAGCAGAGCAGAAGTTTACCGGAGGAACTGAAGAAATTCGAAAGTGAAAGACAACCCTTGGAGAAATGATTTGACAGTGATCGATAACCTCAATCAGTACACGTGGAGAAAAGAATACACCACTCTCATTGATCTACTTACATTTGCACGGTTGGATTGAGAGGAAAAATGTCGTTTTCCATTGCGCATCTTTGGGTTATGCTGGTTTGGCGAAAATGCGCTACTCCAACATACAAAGGAACTAAGAAGAAGAGCCATTAGAATCCAAGAAAATTTCGTGTTCATTCTGTCTTAGCTAGCCGATCGTACTGAGAAGTCTGATCAGAGTTTCTTCCGTGTCTTCAAGGCTTTGAGCGACTGCCTTTTATACGCTTGGTTCAAAATTAATGAACAGGTGATTACAGCTGAACTTAATTCTTGTTAAGGAAACGTTTTATCTCACTAAGAGTCTCCTCATTCTGTTCAACACACCGAACAATGAACATTAGGCGGATAAGTTTAGGGTTCATCATGGCTGGCTCTTCTTCCTGTTGTTTTCTTCCTGCTTTTAATATTGCAACGCTTCCTTTAATATGAAAAGGAACTTCGGCAATGAACAAATTAATTAGAATACGACTCAGCTAAATTAACGCTTTTATCTAGTTGTTTTTCACAAAACGTAGCTATGCTTGGAAAGACTCAATAAAGCTTTAAATAGCCAACAGAAAGATATTTGGAAAATTTGCAAGACATGATTGTTTTCTGAACAGTTATCCTGAGTTGTTTTTGTACATGCGTTGTGCATTGTGAACGGTTTAGGTTGTTCATCTGATTTGTTAGCTTATTCATCCTTCCCAGACAAGAAATTAAGCTTTCCCTAACGACACTTATTAATAATATCACTTCACAGAGAAAGTTAAGGTTGCAAAGCTGGCGTGTAAACACCAATTATGATTAATTTCATATTTCAAGGCGTCTAACAACGTTTGAGAGCAATAGACTAAAACGTTTTGCAAGGATTTTACATGAAATAATTTCGATGCAGGACAAATTTACAATCATGCACTTCGATCGGATATCTCTCCTACATTCTTCATTCGTTTTAATGAATATTCTTCAGTTACAAATCACTGATATGAAAAAGGCCTAAATGGTAAAAACATGTTGGAACCAGTGCAAGGAAGGTTTCAATCAATAATTCACATCCTTAAGCGAAAAAATCATGGTCCTCTTTCCTTTCGCCGGGCGGTCTCATTTTGGTTTCCTGCACATCACATATATTTTTCTATTTCTTAAAAACAATACCAACCGTAGAATTGCAACAAATGTACGTCCGGTCACTGAATTTTCTAAAGTCATTTAGATCCGGAAAAAGTAAAGCTAAAAAGAGCAGTCTTATCTCCTAATGAAAGCTTTATGTCATGTAAATTAAATCAGTAATGTGTAAGTGGTTTTAAAGGGCTATTTATAATGTGTTTATCATCCAATTGGACTGAAAAGGGAATATACTGCAGGAAATAGAACCTTTCACTCTGGCCAGAGGAGATTAGCGAAAACTACATAATCATTTATCTCATACACCTTACACCTCTTACACCTTAAAAAAATTTTCGAAAGATGAAGGGAACCTTTCTGTTTAGCTTAGCACCTCTTACACCTCTTAAACCTTAAAAAAAATTTCGAAAGATGAAGGAAATCTTACTGCTTAGCTTTGCGGAAATAGATATGCAAAGTGAATTGGAAGAACCACTTGTCTGAGGCAGTATTTACCGGAAAGTAACGTTCTAGTTACACCTAATGGAAACCAGCCCAGGGTCATGTATGCGACTTGTCGCACGTTTTACCATTATTATATGATCACAGTCAAGTTATATTGTGCTTATATACATAAAGTCACACTTTTCAAGAGGTTTTGTTTAAAAAAAAATGGACCATCGCGAATTTCTTTTAAATATTGTTTATACTCTTGATTTTTCCATGGCAAGGTCTCAACTTACTTTAAAAAAATAAGTTTAAAAAACTAAGATGACGAAGGGAAAGAGAAGAACTCGAGGAGGACGACAGTGACCATGTGATTGAGTTAGGATTTTACTCTCTCGTTCTTTGCAAAATTGACGTGTTAAGTCATCAATTCCGGCATAGTTGCAGCCATAAGGGAAAATTCTCGAAGAGGCTTTGTTTATTTTAAATAGTTCTTCGCAAAAGTCACCTCAAAAATTGAAGGAAACCACAACTTTTTAGTCAAGCGGTAGTTCGCAGATCGACAAAGATCAAAACTGAATGTAAAACTATGAACGAGAGTATTAACATCGGTGGAGAGTCCCAAACTCGGAACAGCTCGGGCAAAATGCGCCATATTTAATTTGAACAAACAGTGGAATGTAGAGATACAAACATTATCTTTTGAAAAAATTTCTGCGCTTGACGTAGAATCCTCAAACTCCTTATATTGAAATATACTGTGTCAACATATTCCATCGCCTGATGGCTGGGCAAAATCTATTTTTTATCTTGTTATATGTCTTAGTTACCACTCCTCAAAGAGTGGCCAGTATTCCTCTTTTTCATCAGCTGAATGACTTGTCCCCAACCCTCTTCCCTTGTCGTTTCCCTGGCCAAAGCCTCCAAATCCTAGTATCCAATCATTTATGAGTTAAAGTTTCAATTTATTAGCATTACGTGTTGTGTCTTGGCTGACTGATGTTGGACGAGAACCAAAACACTGATTTCTTGTTTCGTTAAAAGGTTATATGCATAGCACTGATGCAACCACGGAGGCTTGTTTATCGTTTTGGCTCTGGAGCATGAGCGTTAATGAAGGTTTTACAAATGTGAGCATCAATATAACAATTTCAAGGTGCTTTTCGAACGCCTTTCTCATGAAATATTTTATAATCAAATGAAATTTTGGGTAACGTAGGTATGAAAACTGTGTGAAGACTTAACCTTTTCCACTGATTTTCACATCCGATATCATACGGTAATTATCAATGTCGCGGCAAAATATGTTTCATTCAACTTCCTTTCTATACTGAAACATGAGTTTTATTGAATTAAACTTTTTAAGTTTTGTTCTATTAATTTCCATTAGATCTAACCGAGAATGATGTTTTCTAAACTGAACTGAATAATTATAACTCAGTTCAGCATCATATGTCTGTTGTGATAAGTGCGGTGTTTTTTGTCTTTGATCGTTCTCATGAATCCCCACGCGCCAAAATAATTAAATACAAAATTAGAAATTGTTGTAAAGGAGTCTTAGGGCCTGATTACACGAGCCGGGCTGGCCCGGTTAACCGGGCTGATTTCTTTTGTTTTGGTGTTCGCCAAAGCGTGAAAACAAAAGAAATCAGCCCGGCTAACCGGGCCAGCCCGGCTCATGTAATCAGGCCCTAACTGAGTAAACCCGCGGTGGGAAAAACCAAGAAGTTACCTGTTTGAATGGAATAGATAAAGGGAACTATTTTTCAAGATTCAAACTTGATGGGTAGAATCTCACTCACTGACAGGCCTGACATGGTACAAATCATGAACGAGACAGATATTTTGAGTCTTTTGTCACAGCTTTCATTGGCTCATTTTTTCATTCCTTCCTGTGCGTGAATGCAATGTAATGTCCTTCTGCAGGAAAGTGTTTTGGGAAAGGCCTGCTCAAGATGGACGAGAAATCCACTAAGATAAGGTCAAGAGCAATTACTTACTTTTACCAGAGGCATACACCAGCATTAACACAGATGTCGCTCGCTGTCCGCCCAGTTATTCACCTAAATTGGATTGTCATCGGTTTGTATCAACAAGAAAATAACCTTTCTTAAAATTCTTTCGTTTGTGTTTCTGATTGTTCAGTCTTGTTGAGCAGGTTGCCTGTATCGCCAAATTCAAAAGTAAAAAAGGATTTATCAACTCTGTGTAACGCAACATAACCAAACCTGTGAGCCAGCCTTAACTAAAACATTCCTAAACGAGTTGCACGATAAAGCCCTCTCCAAATAGGCGACATTGAACAACAGACATTAACCTCACAACACGTAAATGAACACAAGGACCCGAAAAAGCTTTCGAGGATATCGTTTTAAAAGTACGTTTTCCTAGTGTTTTTGTTTTTCAGCCACGAAGAATTAGTTTCAAATTTGAGAAAACTACGGGGAGGCCAATACTATGAGAATAAAATATAACCTCAGACATGTGCTTTTATTTCTGTGTGGTTCATCCTTTCATAATTTAGTGGGATCAAAAACAGATGTAAACCGAGGTAAAAAACACTGTAAGAGAGGTGGTAAATGACAAGACGCGAAAAGAGAGTGAGACATTCCTGATATGGTAAATTAAACATGACAAAGAATCTTGGTTTAAAGTGATTTTTGTATATACACGATATGTAGATGTCACGCTAATATACCAAATTTAGACATTGAGATAGTGAGAACTAGCACGTGGACGCAAAGTTTTACACGTTCATTGTACTTTCATTAGGATTACTTCATCGAGAGAAGGAATGGGCCACCATGTTTCACTTTGAAGGAAAAAAAACGGGTAAAAGAATATATGGTTGTATAAGTTACGTTGATTCAAACGGTTAAGTGTGACCAGATTTTGTTGAAGAGCTCACAGTTCCCAGCCTGGCGTCCAATTTTCAGTGATTAAAAGGTCGATAATTATTTTGGCTGTTGCTGCTGGTTATGGAGCATATTGCGCAGGAAAAGAAGGAAATGATATCTATCTTCATGTTGAAAACAAGATGGAAAAAATTAATTTTGCAGCTCAATATCCATCATCTGAAGGTCAATCCCACGTCCTTGACAAAGTGGTGACGCGGTTTTTCAAGTTTTTATCTTGATCAAATTACCACTCACGCAAATTAGGATTCTTTGTTCGTGTTATTTCCCTTCGGCTTGTGCGATAATTTTTATGTCTTCCTGAGTTTATTTCCTCTTGAATTAGGGTAAGGGAAAGCATTTTTCAAGAGATTTGAAGAGTGACCGTGGGCATTTCAAGCACCTGAAGTTTTTCCCTGTGTTCTGTGTAGTAAGTTTCCAACTGTTCTCAGTATCTATCACTTTTGAGTCAGACCTGCAAAACTATATTTTCCAAGTTGATGAGGTGCTGGAAAAATTTTTATTGGTGTTTTGGATTTCCCTTTTGCTTCAGTTGACAAATATTGAACTTTTAGCTGACTTGATGCGATTCTGCATTTTGTCTCAACCTGCGGCTAACTTATGAACAGACCAAAATTTCTCAGACCTCTTCACGATTGAAAACTAATTACAACTTTAATTTGCACCAACTTATGCAAAATTAATGAGAATTGTGTTTTAGAAATTGCAGAAATTTTTATTGTTTTGTCATTCGTTTAGGCAAAGTTGCGTTCATATTAAAATTTCATTTGTTCATTGTTACTATTCATTTTGCTGGATTAAAAGTGTCACTCTTTATAAATAAAGTCAACTTTCTTCGATTCATAGTCCTAAACATGGTTTGTGTGTGATTTAATTTCGTTTCTATTAATTCTTGATTTCCTTGATTTTTTGCGATTGAGAGCTCACGAAAATAAAAAAAATCCATGAAGAGCTTATTGAGCCTCTTACAACGGAACGTGTTTAATCATACTTTGCAACGATAAAGTTGTAAAACCCTGGGGGAAAATTTTAGAAGAGAAAACAGATAATATAAACTTCTCTAGGCTCAGGGCGCAAGATAAAAGTGCATCTTATTTTTCATAGGGAGCAAGTTTTTCAGCTATGATAAAAATAAAACACTTTACAGTCAAAAACTTACTCTGCTAAGACTGTCGGTTTTTATGATTTTGTTCTCTTTAAAACTTACTGAAGCATTTAGTTAAAAGAAATTATCATGATGTTAATTTTTCGGTGGGAAGCTCGCGCCAGCGTAAAGGAAGTGATATTATTTTTCTGTTGAGTAATATTCCGGAGTGGGGATAAACAACAGCAGGAAGTCTACGATACTGAGGAACTTTTCATTTGTCTTTTGTTGGCTAATTGATCCTCATTTACCATTAGTGCAGCATTTTATCTCAATGTCCGACGCCACGCATTTGTACAGAGAAGTTTATCCCGACAATCGCACGTATAAAGGACCCTGTTCTTTACCAAGTGAGCACAACACAAACCGACTATTCTCATTTAGTGCTCGATTGAAATCTCCTTTTGATTTGGAAAAATGAAGAGTAAATGTTTTTGGATGCTTTTAGCATTAGTTTTATTATCTTTTGTAAGCTTGGGGAGCGCATTCACACCCGCTGCAGGATGTAGGATAAAAGCGGGGTGCAATTCTCAGGCTGCACGAGAATACAGCGATCAGAAGGTAACTCGTCGATAGCTCATTTTCAACTGTCCAAAAATATTTTTCGCTTATTTTGACTGTAAGAACAAACATATGAAGCACTTATTGCATTTTATGTAATCAAGATGTGCTTTCTATTTTGATCAATGAACGTTTTGTCTAATTCAGTTAAGTAACTTGGCTGGCAGTTTCAGGTAGTTTCAATCTGGCTAAATGAGGATCGTTGATTTAATTTTAGCATTATTTCATCACACACGAGTGGTGGAAAACACTGGCCCATGCTGACGGAGAGTTCATTCCGTTTTTTACAGAGTGAAATTTGTAGTTCTTGTCAGTTTGATGTAAGTGTAAATGCAAGCTAGAACCCAGTACCAGTAGCTTGTGAAACACCACTTAAAAATCTCTTTCGTGGGTAATAAAAGAGTATCCATCAAGATCTTTACCGAACCCGTGGTTCATCGAATTTTTTTTTTCCTACTGAGTCAATAAATTATTCACCGAAGGGGAGGTAAATGTTTGTTCTCTCATATAACAGGAACACTGAATAACGAGGCACTTAAAAACTATTTTATTTCTGGCAATATTCCAACATACGGACGGAAATTAAACTAGTGAGTATTTCAAGACTGCTTGTGCCTCCGAGCGAGCTAACCAATCAGTACGTTCTAAAAGCATTATTCACCTATATGGCGTAGACTTATTTTGATTATGTTTTAACCAACAGGATTTTATAAGAGCATATTGTGACAAAGCCCGTCCATGTAAGGGAGCAAACGGAAAACGTAGTCTTCTACGGCAGGAAGCCGTACTGGAGAGGGACGAGGAACATTTTTGAATTGGAAGCAAAGATGACTATCACCATAGCGAGAGGAATTTTACAAAATTGTTTAGACGACTACATAATTTCCTTAGCGCATAAAAAAAGATTGTTTGAATATTTATGTCTGTTATTATAAACTTTAGATGATAAATTGTGAAAATTCGGAATTATTATGGGACTTCATTGACATAGTATCGCATAGAATACCGATTCCATTTACGGAAATAAGTTTATTAGAGCCTTAAATGGATTGCACATGTTTAGATTTATTTTTCCTTTTAGGACAAGAGCTCGCTTGCCACCTTAACCACTTTCCAAGGTGATTATCACAATAGCTAGAGGAACATCAAATTTATCTATTCTAACGACTGTATATTTTTCTAAGCTTGTGTATCAGTTTAAATGACGATACTATATGAATATTTATGTCCTAAATCATAAACCCGAGATTCTGAGTTGTGTAGACTTCATCAACATAGTATCTAATAAACATTCAGTTTAATTTTATTGTTTAAGAGCCTTTATATGGATCACAAATTTTTAACGATTTTTTTTGTCCAGTACTCGCGTTTCACCCTAACTGCTTATTCAGTTTTTTCCCTACGTGTTGACTGCTCTTGTAAGTAGCCAACTACTTTGCCTCCTCTCAGTTAAACTTTTTAATCCTGGTACGTTCAGTTTATTTGGGTCATTTAAGTGAAATGTTTATAAACTTACTGGAGTACCAAAGTGCTCTTCCATTATAATCATAAAATTTTTCTTCGATGAAATGGCTAAAAACCAAAAACTGTTTTAAGTGAAAAACCACCACGGAATGAAGATTACCTTATACAGAATCTTGACACAATAAACTTAATAGTTCTCCTTTAGTCAGACCACCTATGGAGTTTCAATATAGCCAGCCGAATTTCATCTGATCATATAAAATTTCATTGTGTCTTATCTCGAACGCTAGTAATACAGATAAACCTACAGCCGTAGACATGGTGATTCATACCGAGTGCTTTTGCAATCAATGATAAGCGTTTTCTTACTGAGGTGTAATTTGATAGCCTAATGACTTAAAAGGGCATTATTTGATGAGGAAATCTGCGTAACACCGGAAGTATTAATGTGTCGACTACTGCACCTACAAGTAAATCTGAATTCTTAAATCACAGCTGAATCTCTGTTCTGACCAGCCATCTGTTCAATTGCATGATTTGTAGAAAGAGTAATTTTTCTATTGGCTGTCATAATTACGTTGATAATGAACAAAAATGGAAAAAAAAAAAAAAGCTGGAGGGCGCTTCACTGATGCACGTGCCAGTGTAAAGGAAGTGACATTATTTTTCTGCTGAGTAATGTTAGGAGTGGGAATAAAAAACAAACAAACAAAAGTAAGATCACCAAACCAAGGAAATTTTCATCTGCCTTTTGTTCACTAATTGATCCTATCGCTATTCATCCATTAGTGCCGTATTTTATCTCAATGCCGACGCCACGCACTTATGCAAAGACGCTCATTAAATCATGATTCTCTTGAAAATCGTAGGTATAAATGATCGTGTTTCTCCTCTAAGACAATGCAACACAAACTAAATGTTCTCAGTCAGTACTCGATTGGAATCTCTTTTTGCTTTGGAAATATGAATAGGACATTTTCTTGGATGTTTTTAGCGCTAGTTTTGCTATCTTTTGCATGCTGGGGAAGCACATTTTCACCCAATATGAACTGTCCTTCACACGTGTGCCGAAAACGAAAAGTGGCGCGAAAATTCAGTGAGCAACAGGTAAGACGTCAAAGGTTTATCTTCAACAGCGCAGTAATGGTTTTTTTTCGTCCTTACCAGCAAACATATGAAGCATATATTGCATTTTATGTAAGCAAATAGGAATTGCCAAGTTCAATGCGCCATTCTAATCCAGTTTGGTAACTTTGGGGACACTAGTGAGCCAGTTTCAATTTGCCGTTAGTTAATGATTTTAACTCCAAATTATGTTATTTTCCTCGCTTATGTGCGGTAGAAAAAGATCGACCGTGTGGACAAAGAGTTCATTCAGTTTTATTACAGAACGAACTAGTTCTTGCTAATAGTCAAAGCTTGGAAAGGAGCACTTTCAAACATCCTGATTGTAGTTGTGGTTCATCGAATGCTTTCTTCGTATCTGCTTTTATTCACCAAAGCGAAGAGAATTAAATATTATATTAGATACTACACACGCTGAATAAAAAGCACACTTAAAAATTTCTTTATTTCTACCAGTATTTCAACATATGGACAGAAATCAGTGAAGCTGGCGAATATCTAGTTAGCCAATGAGCACTCTTTAAAAGCACTATTCACCTCCATGCATGTGGTATATTGACTTACAGCAATTATCTTTTTAACCAGGAGGATTATATAAAAGCATATTGTGACAGGGTCCGTCCGTGTAATGGGGCAAACGAAAAACGAAGTCCTCTTCGCGGAGAAGCTCCAGTTGAGAGAGACCGGGAACAGCTCTGACTTTGAAGCCAAGATGACTATCACTACAGCTAGAGGAAGATCAAAAATTTATTCAAACCACTGCATATTTTCTTTAACTTATGTATAAGATAAAAAAAGAATATATGAATATTCATGTCTGTAATTTTAAACTTGAGATAGTAGATTGTGTGGATCAGGTATTATTTTTAAGACTCCAGTCACGTGTATCAAATAAAGAATCGATTCTATTTCTTGACATAAGTTTATCATATCTATTGTCTTAAGTTTTTATGTGGATTACATACATCTTTTTCAACTGTTTTGTCGTTTTGGCCTGAGTTTGCATTCCACAGCGCGGTAAAGTTTTTTTTTTTCGTCCTTATAAGCAAACATATGTTTCTGCCAGAGTTTACGTTTCACCTTAACTACTATTTTTTACGATGATTTGCTGCTTGTCACCGGTAGCAGAGGCTGTACGTGTGCCAGGATAGCAAACTGTTTTACCTCCTGCCAGTTAAGCTTTTTAATCTTGTTACGTTGGTAGTTAATAGAGATGTGCTTACTTGAGTGGAGTGCGCATACATACAAGCTGACTGGAGTGGAAAAAGCTCTTCCACTAAAGTCAAAACATGTCTTCTTTGAAGTAACGGATGAAACCCACGTAGAGTTGAAGATAATATTCCACAGAATCCTTATTCCAGCGATTAAATGGTGATCCTTTGAGAGTATGAGAAGGTTGGTTTTAAATTACGCTCATTATGTAACGGCATTCCTGCGTACTAATTTTTTTTGTGTTTTCCATGGTATAAATCTCTTTATTAAAAACTGGATCATTGGATAATGCAATTCAAGACTTTTTGTTGGCTCAGCCATTATGGTATATGAGCCAATATACCATAATCTAATTTCTGTACATTATTAAATCCGGTTTCTTCTCACAAAATAAAGTCGAGAAGATTTGTCTAATATCTTGGGGGCGTTTTTTTTTAATGAAACAATTATTCCACTCTCACTTGTTGGATATGAGATGATTATAGCCAACTCGGCGCTACGCTTCTCGTTGGCTATCTATCATCTCAGTATCCAACGCGCGCTCGTGGAATAATTGTTAAATATTCGCATAATCATGCGTATCACGAATATGGCTTGTGCAGATGAATTTTAATAGAGTTCCCATGGAGTTTCGGTACAAGTCCAAATTTCACGACATACGGGAAAAGAAATGAGCGAAAAACAGTTTAAATCTCTGAATGCAGCTTGGAAGTGCATTGATATCAGCACGCTGAACATGGACCATTGTATACCTCAACATCGGAGGATAGAGCGTTCAATTCTGCATCGAGATGTGTAGTTTCGAGCGTTGGCAAAGAGATTTGGATTGGGATCTTAAGTGAAGGACTATATTTTGAAGTAGACAATTTCCAACCAGCAGTCTGCTTTTAACTTCTCTCCTCTACTGTGATACCTTGAGACGAGAAAATATTGGGACGGTGCGTTGAGTGTTTTCGATACAGTCCCATTACCATCAGAGGCAAACTCATTGAGTACTAGCCACGCACGCGCATAGGTGGAAAATAACGTTACTACTGTTCTTATTCGTTTCTTGTTGAACTTAAACGACAACATCATGTAAGTGTGTACATTGCGTCGGCTGCTTGATATGCCACCTATTGCAGCCTAAAACGCCCACAATGATTCCCGATTTCCATTGCAGTGAACCGTTCATATGGCAACAAATCCCAAAAATCCAGCATTTTGCTCCAAGAGCAACACTGAAAAAGTGTCGATCTTTTAAGGTGAAAACTTACTCAAAAAATCAAAAGTTTGCGTTCAAAACACACCTCAGGGCCAGATCTTGGTGTTTGGCTGGAAAATTCCTTCTCACTTTATCCGCTAGCCCTTGTTCCTCCATTTGATACAAGCTAGTGTTACGAACACAACCTTTGCCTTGTTTACGCCCGAAAAGAGTTCTGGGAAATTCCATCATAAGTCGAGAAGGGAATTCTTAACATTTCAATTTTAACAAATCATTACAAGTGTTGGCCCACCCCGTCCTACAAGCAAAATATCACATCCATTGAAACTTTTACTTGTCAAAACTTGCCCAAAAAGCCTTGGTAGGTCTTGGTAGCCATCCACAGATGGGCTAGAGAGACGACTTCACTTGTGGACTCGCCAAGCGCAAGCTTGCATGAAAGCATTTTTGGCGGTCCAGGCTACATCAAACCACCTCTCAACCTCTCACCTCTATTTTCCTTCAGAGCATGACAGGACGGAAAATGCGTGCACTGTACCTCCCGTTGTCCCATACAAAGTCTTAGAAAACTTCTCTAAGGTTTTGTATGGGACAACGGGAGGTACTTACAGTGCACGCATTTTCCGTCTTGTCATGCTTGCCTCTACCCACATTCCAGCTTAATGATGCCGTCGTGAGGGCTTCTGTAGAGGGAAAATGGCTCGAAAAACACTTATAAACGGCCAGAAAAGCGAGAAACCGAATCGATTTGAACGCATCCAAACATGAACTGTTGATGTAGGTCACGTGACCCGAAAGTCTGAGCCCATGGTGTCTCAAAACCGCAAATATTGTAACGGAAACTCCGTATAAGGACCAACAAAGTGAAGTTAATTTTGCATCGCCAAATTACAACTGAAAAAATATGGTCTTTTTCGTATTCAAAGGGTTAAATATGTGTTTACTTTCCCCCAACTCTCGTCAGGCCATAACGAAAAAACATGCGAAAAAGACAATAATGCTATTTACCTGCACTCACAGTCTCTCTTTCTACCAGGGATAACCAATGGCTCCGGCGTGCTACCACATTGACAGGAAGCTTAATGAATTGCAAGGGTACATGGGTCTCAATGAGGGAATGGCTCTTGCGGCTAACGGTTAAAGTTTTAGTTCAGTATGACGGGTAAGATATCTTACCATCTTACGACCTTGAGCTCTTGAAAGCGTTCAGGGTCTGATCACGACCGAGATGTTATACACTGGAGGTACCTACATGTAAAATTAGAAGTATGGTTGGGTTTCAGGTGACGTCACAAGCTTTGCTGAAGTTAGTGTCCGCCATGTTGGTGTCCCTCGGGTGTCAAATTTATGAATAATTAGTCGATTTCTATAGTGAAGCTCTCTCTCTTATCGCCGTATTATTTCGCCAACTGCATGAATATCCAGGAAGAAAAAAGCGATAAAAGTATCTGGCACTCATATGGCTGAGTCATGCTCACATATCGCGAGTGTTTTATT